GAGGTTTAATTCAAAATGTCCGACGAGCATTCCCGCCCCTTTCATATGGGAGTCCCCCCCGGGAGCATGGCAAACAATTACAAGAGGTACCTGTGTGAGAAAAACTTGCAAAAACCTCTCCTCGCGTGCCATTTTAATATCCTTTTTACTCATTACTGTCATTTGCATGGACCCTCACTCGCCCAACGAATTAATTGCAACCAGGAGCCCATTGCAACAAAATATTGTTTTATCCATCCTCGGAGACCCAGAGGCAGCTAGTCGGGACGATAGAATGTTCGTGGTGAAAGTTTAATGTTATTATAAGATCGAGACGATGTTAAGTAAACTTTATTTCACCACGAACATTCGATCATCCCGAATAGCTGCCCCTAGGTCTCCGAGAATGTGTTTTCTCATACTCAGAGATGATATCAGTTTCCTTTTCTTTCTTTTTATATTTTTCGCCTTATGTTTTTTTTTAATTTCGATGTTATTAATCTTAATACCCTGCGAGCAGTGGTTTCTCCAGGCCGGACGGTTCGTAGCACAGCGTCCGGCCTAGAGAAACCACTGCATGCTCGCAGGGTATAACTTTTATAAACATTGTTAAATTATTATTGTTTTCAGTGTGTTCTATTTACTACGAAAGCCGAGAAGGGTCTTCCGACTTCCGACTTCAGACTTAAGACTTCATACTTCAAACTTCAGACTTCAGACTTGACAAAGTTCGAACTCCGGGTTTCCGATTTCTGACCGTTGAGACTTAATGCTGCATGGTTAGACTTCTGACCTCCCACTTCCCACTTCCCACTTCTGACTTCCAACTTTCAACTTCCCACTTTCGATTTCTGACTTCCGATTTCCAACTTCCGACTTCCGACTTCCAACTTCCCACCTCTAACTTCCCACCTCCGACTTGAACTCCTCTGTCGGGCTCGATTGCCGCTCGATCCGCCACGCGGGTATTAATGATTAAGGTCAAGGCTCAGTAGAAAGAACGGCTGTACCGTTCTAGCCACAAAAGAGAACAACTAAAGTTGCTCGTGTAAAAGCAACTAAGCACAAAGCCAATCAGGCAACTGATGAGGTTCTCTTGGGGAACCGAAACCATGGTCTTGCCTGATCACAAAGTGGCAATAGTGATAACAAAAAAGTCCTAACACTGTTACGCTCATTAAAAACCTATAACCAAGGAAAGAAATACGCGCTCCAGTCAAAAGACTCACATTTTCTTTACAAAAACACTAAGCTGGATTCTACTGAGTCACAATGCAATCTCCATAGTTGATTTCATTTTAAGCTGCACTTCAATCTTATCACTTTGGATCCGTAAATCACTATCCGTGATAATTTAACATCCTGCAAAGACAACTAACGAGCTGGGCCCAGCGTGATAACAGCTTAAAAATAGTCACATAGTTATTCAGGTCCAGAAGGCAATTTGGAGAAAATTAGAGCCCTTATTCGGCCTTAATAAAAAGCTTTAAAGAATATGCTCTTGCATCAGAGGGCAAATCCGGCCGACCAGAAACAAAAACCACAGTAAATCGATATGTGTGCCATGACCTCTTAATGTGAAATAGGCGGCTTAACCAGAACCTTCTAGAGCATAATCTACCCAGCAGAAGGGAAAAAAANTAGAGCCCTTATTCGGCCTTAATAAAAAGCTTTAAAGAATATGCTCTTGCATCAGAGGGCAAATCCGGCCGACCAGAAACAAAAACCACAGTAAATCGATATGTGTGCCATGACCTCTTAATGTGAAATAGGCGGCTTAACCAGAACCTTCTAGAGCATAATCTACCCAGCAGAAGGGAAAAAAACGTTTTTGGAACAAGCAGCATTTTAGCATAAGGTAAAAGGCCTATCACCGCCTTTTATTGCTACGGAAGTTGGAAGGCGGAAATCAGAAGTCGGAAGTTGGAAGTCGGAAGTCGGAAGTTGGAAGACCCTCCTCGGCTTTCGTAATTTTCTCGGCTTTAGGCCTAATCATTGACCTATCTAAGGCCTTTGATACAGTAAATCATGAAATTTTGCTCGACAAATTAGAACATTATGGAGTACGTGGTATTGCTTTACAATGGTTTAAAAGTTATCTTCTTGTCGAAAACAATTTGTGCAATATAATGGTTACAACTCTTCATCATTAGATATCACTTGCGTAGTCCCTCAGAGATCTATCTTAGGTCCCCTGTTATTCTTAGTATATATAAATGATCTATGTAATGTGTCAAAGGTATTAGAGCTGATACTATTTGCTGATGACACTAATATCGTCTATTCGCATACTGATGCTTCCTATCTTATGGAAGTTGTAAATTTAGAATTGAAAAAGATAACGTGTTGGTTTTATACAAATGGGACTCTGCGACATGTATAACGTATTCTACAGACTACTATCAAACTTATAACAAACGCCACTGAATCCGAGCCAACAGTTACCAGCGCCGTACAAACGACTTATTGACGAGATCAAGCAAAACTAACTACGAGAGAACGACTGGAGAACTGAAAAGTTGACTAACAATAGACGACTGTTTAACTGTGACAATAGACGGATCGAAACGCACCAATTACTGATTACGAGTCTTCATAGCCAATAACATCACGGCTTAACTGACAGACGACCAATAACATCGCGACGTATATAATATACCATCAACTGACGTGATACAACTCACTTTGACTCTGAAGATGACTACCCCACAGGTTGTCGAAACGTCAGTCACTGTCATCAACAACATTCCTATTCAGGTCTACGTTCACCCGGACGATCAAACTCAACCTACTTTTGAAATAATAATAATGCCAAAAATAATATCACACAGGTTTTTCATTAACGTCCTCGGGGTGGGGTTTTTGAAAACGCCGACTTACCTTTCTTTTCGTGTGGTACTGACAAAAACTGAGATTATCGAATACGATCGTGTTGCTGTAAGAGGGAGAGAGGATCTCAGTCTGCGTGTCAGGCGTTGAAAATTTAATATTGGTTCAACAGGAACTGGTTTCAGTAAAACGTATAGGTCCCTCATGACAGATTTCAAGCCTATTTCCCATTTACACAATCACTGGGTTACTGTGAAACTCACAAAACCGTGAACACCAGAAATATTTATGGAATGTTATTGTGTTGCGAGAAATAAGCCAATAAGGCGCGAGAAAAACTAAACTGCAAACAGCAACGGTAATTACTGTCAAACAACACTTAAAAAATTTCAGGAATGTTGATTGTGTAGCGGCCAATCACAATAAAGTTCAGGATACACAAGCAAAATTAATTACCGTTGCTGTTTGCGGTTTAGTTATATCGCGCCTTGTTGGCTTATTTCTCGCAACACAATAACATTCCATAAATACTTCTGGTGTGTTTCACAATAATTTGTGGTTTGAGGTTTGCCTGCGTATCCTGAACTTTATTGTGATTGACCAGTACACAATCAACATTCCTGAAAATTTTCAGGTGTTCACGGTTTTCTGAGTTTGACAGTAAAAGTATTGAAGTTTTGCCTTAGTTTATAGCTCGAAGTAGTATTTGACTATCTACTGCTTGAAATTCGCCATGGGTGGATGGCCGAGGTTAGGAAACACGACAAGAAATATTACATCAACAGTGCGCCAAGGGTACAACAATACTCTGTCTCGCAGTAAAAGCGAGGATCGCAATGCACCAATTACAGACGACTCTTGTGATACAACGGCACTGCCTTATCACTCTACGTCATCTCCTGAAATAGAGTAGCAGTAAAACGCCACATGGCGAGACATATTAACCCTGTTTATTATATAGACACGAGTGTTTTACTGGAAAATATACCACTCGTAAAATTCATAAAAACTACATCCGGGACCCGAGTGGTTTATTTTCCATAATCTCACACGTGAGTTTATCGATGACGTAATTTCGGTAATTTCCCCCTATTATTTTATCGATGTCATTTTGTCTATATAATAAAAAGAACATTACACGCCGGCTTGAAGATCGAAAATAAAATTCATATCTTCGCGCCACCGTGTAATATCCTCTATAAAATAAATCAGAAAAAATAAACCGTCTGTGGACATGCTACGAGGCAAACGTTAACTCTGTTATATATACCCCACGAGGAATAACCACAATATCCTTATGAAAGGCGGCAGCAAAACAACTACACAGTGATGTTGTTTACGTATGTCTGTGCCAAGAAAACAACTGGTGTTCGTCACCGCAAGATTTACGACTGTTTGAAATACGCAAAGGCTCGAGCGAGAAGCGAGAAGCAGGGATTCCAACCCTCCCGATTTGATGTGTTGCCTCCCGCCCTCCCGATTTTTATCAGATTCTCCAGGTTTACCATGAAATTCTGAAGACAAGGGGAAAAAATTGCTTATCTTGAGTATTCTATTGGCGATCTGAGGGTAAAACGTTAGGCATTGCACTTTCTTATCCTGTTTCGCCCTGTCTCTCCATTGAACATCGCGCGTTGTGCAGACTCATAAGGCCAGCAGTCTATACGGAAGGTTTAGAGTGTCTGCGACGAAAGTAGAGAGGTATAAAAGAGCCCATTACCAGTGTTGCTCCCCACTGAATGCATCTAAGCCATGTGGACATACAGTTTACAGTTATTCATGATTTTTCGAAGTGGCCATGGTGTAAAGCCAGTGAAAGAAATCTCCCTGTTTGATTCTGAAAAGATGGATTAACAACAGCAAAGAAAAACCCAAAGACATCCGAGATAAGAATAAAAACCTTACAGAATACCGCTAAAACGATCTCAAAATGGAAATGTCGCTTGAGAGAAACTAAATTTGCAGGGGGGCATATCCCCAGATTTCCCTTGAGGCTCACGTCTTCGGCGCCAAAAGATACTCCCTATTTTCCTTCAAAAAAGGTTGGAATCTCTGAAGAGGAGGGGGGAAATGGAGAGAGATCAGAAATGGCAGTGAAAACAGCACAGCGACGTTATCATACAAATCAGTGTATTCACAAAGTTGTCATTTCTGTTGTAACCAAACCACTACAAATCTATGTCAATGTTAATGTACACGATGTTAAAACTCATAAAATACAAGTGTTATTTGAGCGCAGATACATGGGTTATTTACAAACGTGGCTCATGAAGAAACTCTCTCTTTGATGAAAGAATGCTTACGTACAATGTTCATGCATTATACTTTTAATCCCTTTTTTTTCCAAATCTTTTAAGTGCTTTTTGTTATTCCTGTAATATCGCTCAGTGTTCTGTTGACGTCAAACCTTGTACACTTTCAGAACACCGTAGTTCAACACGTAGCCTGCGAGCAAGCTATCCAGTGATGGAGGGCGAAGCAAGTCGCGAGGGAACGCGCGAGGGAACAGCTAAGCCGCCTCTCGCACTCGCGCAACTTCTCCCAACTCTTCCAAATGGAGAGTTTGCTCGCAGGCTATTCAACACGCAACTACGCCTGCGTCAAGAAAGGGCAGCAAAGAATAACTAAACTGGTATCACGCTGAATTGATGAATTAAGAGTTAAACTCTTCACAACAAAACAACACCACTCCATGATGGAGCAGTCTCTCTTAACCTGCCAATAATATGTGCAAGTAACTTCACTACGCCAGTACACAAAATTACGAACACCACAATTAAACAGGACTTATTTACAAATAATATCATCAGTGCCCTTTCTTGATAACCAAAGAAAGCAGACAGGTTGGGAAACCATTAACCTACTTTCACAAATTTTCATTTTCAAACTCTTTTATCTTTTTGCTAATTTAAGAACTATTCCTTTTCTGGGAGGCCCACCAGAATCACTGCCAGAACCAGGTCCCTGGTCTGTAACGAGCTTGACAGTCCACTCATTCTTTTCGCTGCTGGCGTCAGAAGCTGGACTTGCCAGGGGTGAGCACATGGGGCTACCAGGAGAGGATGCTGAAGGAGAAGCAGGTAATGAAGAAGCAGGTGTCGGCAGCGGTGTTGGAAGCTTGAGCGCTGTAAAATCAGTGTCTGATAGTGGAAAATTTCTTTCTGGCCATGGTGGCACTGGTGGCCAGAGTTCTTCATCAAAAACGGATTTTTCTGATCTATCTGTGGAAGAAGATCTGCGATGTGCAAGCTTGGAGTCTGAAAGTGAGCGATGAAATGAATGCATGGCAGAAGTGGGTGTGGTAGTGCCAGAAGGGGACAAAGCTGAGGTGGAGGGAGGTGGGGGAGCAGAGGCAAGGGTGACAGGCAGTGACCCCCCTGCTGTGGGTGTGATTGTAGGTGTTCCTGGGGGAGTGCCTCCTTGACTGTCTGGATAAGTCAGCGGAGATGGTGGATCAGGATTGCTTATTTCACTGCTCTGTCGTGATGTTCGTTTTCTTTTCTTCTTTATAATTCCTAAGAACCGTTTGCGTTCATGCTCCTCACAAAACGCATGCCTAGAGACATACAACTCATCTGATGTATCCTCGCTGCTGTCCTTTTCACATTGCTCTTCCACCTGGAAAAAATGGCACTGGTTACGAATGACCTTACACACGTTTGGACTGAAAACAGTAAAACTCTCTACCTATTGCCCAACCTAACAGATAATTTCACAGGATTCCAGGGAAAAGCTAATTCTCTTTTTTTGTCAGGCCTTAAACACCTCATAATACTTTGTTTTTTCTCATGTGCTTTGCTCTAAATTACTCTTGTTTGTTACATAATTATGTTGTAGTTGTTGCTTTTATGTGCTGATTATTTCAGATTATATTTTAGTGGAGATTACCAGACCGCAAGAATAAGGTAATAAAATTTTTAAGGACATTATTGGTAGTTCGAGGTAAGTTTCCCAAAACTTACTGTTAATGGCATTTAAATTTGAGGGCCATAAAACGGCTGTGGTACCTTCATTCATACTGACAGCAAACCACAAGCAATATTTCTTTTCACAAGTGAGTAACCACATAATTTACAAGCAATACGAGATAGTAAGGAACTAGGGTGACAGCACAAGAGAAAAACATTAAACTGCCTGGTTTCAATAGTGACATCAACCATTCACTGGTGCAACCTTACAAAGTAGTCATTGATAAAGAGCAATATACCAACCTCCACCTTAACATCATCGACTTCAGCTACATCATTGACTCGCCAACTTGGAGTTGGTATCTCCTTGTATTGAAGTTTCTCAACTCTGGTCGATGAAGCCATGGAGTAAGGAATGACAATGTTGTTAATGTCAAATGCATTGCTTCCTCTCTTCTTCTTTAACAATGAAGATAAACTATTTGGTGGCAAAGACTGGGTCAGGTTTGGCGTAGGGCTAGGAGTGGATGTTGGAGTAGATGGGGTAGAACCCACAGTCGGCAATGACAAACTCCTTGCACGCTTCTGCAGCTGGGCAGCTGAATGAGAATTAAAATAATAACTTACTTAGTAATGATAAGTCACCTGGCACCAAAATGCTTTCTTCAGATAATAATAATATTCTACTATGACGAGCTAATACTTGGTTCTAGCACAACATCTTAGAACCAATAGGTGATCAGTAGACAAAAATCACAACAAAAGTATATACAAAACAGGAAAGAGAGCAAGGTGTCTGTTACAAAAAAGTGATGTACAACATTTTGTCTTCTTCAGGACCAAAGCAATGAGGTGACTGTAAGAACCACCTTGACTAACTCGATAATCTATCCTTTTTGCAATAATTGTTTCAACGCCTTTTTACTTTCTGGCGTGCAAACTTAACCTTTAAAATAGGAGATTATGAAAAGATACAAGCAAAGCTCAAGTGTCATCCCCGAGTTAGTTTGGTGATGGAAAACAACTCATTTAAATTTTATAAAAGAAAATACAAAAGGAAATCAATGGTTGTATTTATATCTGATATAGACATGGCAGCATTTAAAACTTAATTTTCTTAGCTAAGAACAAATAGATAGGCATTAGAAGTTTTTGAAGTTGCAAGTATACTCTTAGTTTGTGCATTATCAAGTCTAAAACACTTGACTACAACTATTTTAAACTTATGCTCTCCTCTTGTTTGTCTACTGTGAAAAGGAAATTTTACACTAAAATGACTGAAATGATTAGACCACAATATTTAGGATATTGAAACTACTGAAATAAAACACACACGTTTCAGAGTATGACAATGATTTTCTTATCCACTTGTCCTTCGGACAAGCATTACATCAAATTTTGTTGTCCGAAACCCAAAAGTTCTTGTTCAAAACACTTTGCTCAAAACTAAAAACTCACAAACAATCAGGCATGTAATATTTTTAATCGCATTATTAGCCTTGTAAATTGTTCTTGGCTTAAACCTAAATAAATATCATGCACAATCTTTATAGCAGGAATGACTAACATCTTGAAAGGCCTGGTTACTAAAGCCAGATGGAGCTGGTAAAAACAAAAGAAATGGCCACAGAATGGCGAAGTTAAAAGGAATAATTAACCTTCTTTCGTCCAGCATGAGGTTTGCTTTTACGACCAACAAGATAAATAAATTATAACTCTACTGGAATTTGAAGTCAATTTTCAACTGGTCTTGTGTTTTTTCTTAATAAAAATGAGCTTGTACCCCTGACAAGTCATGTCAAAGGTTTACATGTCCGAACTAAATTTCTATCTGTCCGGGACAATCGGACTTAGGTTTTGGTGCACCCTGAGGTTTCCCTAATTGCATTTTTAAGGCCTCTCCTGCTTACTCCAGATTTTTTCAGGTTTATACTACACAATGACTGTTTTAATTACTGATATCTGTTTTCTTACCAGCACTTATGGCTGCAGCTCGCTTCTTCCTTGGACCATCAGACTGACCAACCCTGTTTTCAGCAGCACTTCTTGATGAAATCTTTGGAGTGGACGTTACAGAGTAGTTTCGTTTTCTCTCATACTTTTGATTGTGATGTTCTGTGGTGGGAAAAAATTATAGAAAAAAATTCAAACCTCAAAACTGCAAGGAAATCTCCAAAGTGGCACTGAAACTTTTCATTGAGTAAAAAAAGGTATCCAACCACAAAGCTATGAAGTCCCCTAAGATTAAGAAAATGTCAAATATGCCTCTGAAACAATAAGCTGTAATATTATAATGACCTGTAATTAAAATTCAAAGACAAGGAATATTTAAATAACAAGGAAGTAAATGTTTCTAAATTCAAGACAGCTGAATAAACTTCAAAAATAGCATAGTAAGTTTGTGCACTTACTTGCAGAGGACAATAAAGAAGCAGCAGCGCCTTTGGCAAGCTGTGAACGCCTTTTTCCTGCTTTAGCTACCACAGGTGGTTTCCTGTGTTAATTGAAATATTACGAATATTAATTTCAACCATGATAAAAACCTAGGCAAGCCAGCCTCTAGTAAGAGACCTGATAACAATAATTACTTCTATCAGGGACACTAGCAATGTATAGTTGGTGAGTAAGAAAGTACAGCAGATCTATGGTCCAATGGTCAGCATTTGTTTCAAGCCTTTTGATATCCATTTTTAACACAATGACATTGTTACCATGACAAATTACCATAACAGATTGGCTGCTTTTTATAGTAAACACGGTGGAGGTAAATAACTAGACTTTTTCCTGATCTGCTGACTAAATATCACATTAAAAAAAATCAACTTAGGAACTAGAAACTGAGGCAAACATTAACTTTAAAGCTGTTTTGAAAGCTGAGTAAACAATAGCACTATTTTAAGCGATGACAGCCATCTTTATGCTAATCTGCTGGTGTCTGTATAAGTGAAGGATACTTGTTATCAACAGAAAGTCTCATGACTGGATTTCAATCATATATAAATTTGTTAGAGACAAAACAACTGTTATATGGCACTCACAATTTGAATGACAACAGTCCTGATAGACTTTAACAACCAGTAAAATATTGAAAGAACAACTTTGTGCAAAATGAAATTGGAGGAAAAGGGTGAAGTGCAAAAATGCTTGAGGAGCAATTCTACTGCAGATTCTATCTATAATAATGTGCAAAAGGTGAAAACAACAACTAAAATGTCCACTGAAATTGTGTTTTATCGGTTACTTGAAACAAACTTTTATGCATATGAGCATATTAAGTAGGCTTGATTTAATTAACTGGTTGCAACAAGTACTTCACAGCCAAGACTAGACAACATGGTTCAGATAGCATAGCATTTTTTCTTTTCCAAAGTACACAAGGTATAAAAATGGAAAAACACAAATCAAAATAAAATAAGTGGGAAGGGAAAGGAGAGAGGGTGGGGAACTCCCATTCCTAAGTGCCCCAACAACTACTTAAAATTTGCTGCCCAGTAAACTGGTACAGGTTTAAACTCATCCTCATTTTATATTTTAAGCCACAAAACAGGCCCAACACATGCTATAAATTAATGTTTGTTTGTTTAGCTATTAATAAAAACAAATATGGAACTTCTCTTGTTGACCTAAACGAGTGAATAAGTGAAGCAATTTAACTCATTCATCCCTGAACTGCCCGTAACCGCCTGTGTAGATCCACATCCCTTCTACCGCTTGTAAATGACAACTTTGTCCCCTTAATTGTGCAGAGTGAAAAAATCTTTCAAACCATACCAGAATGAGCACTATTCAGGTCAAGGACACCGGAGAAAAAGGCAAAAAAACATGTAACATTGACCTGAAAACTTCCATGAAAATCTTGTTCCACTACCCACCTACCTTTCCTATCATCTAATCCTAAGATCCTAAAATCTTTACTTAAAACGTTTCCCACCAAAATGAAGCCTACTAAATGGACAGCAGAAGAAAAAAAAATGAGACAAAAGAAGCGAAAAAAGATGGGTGGAGAGAAAGCAAAAAGTAAAAGTAACGACAGCTGCATCACTTTTAAACCCCAAAACTTTAAATTTTGCTGTCTGCACATGGCTGAACTTTGCAAGCTAACAGTTTGTATCTGGATCAGAAGGCTGCAGAGTGCACGACCTGTAAATGGCTTTATGGCAAGTTTTAGCTCTTTATAGCACGACAGTGGCCAGAAAACTCCTCGACTTGCGTCAAAACGCAAATTTCCAGGGGCAAATGTGTTTAAAAACTAGGTACAAATACACAAAAAAACTGGGGACAAATTGAATAGGTTTCGAAAGGACTGTAAACCGATTGTAGTAAGGAGAGGTTAAACTTACTTCTTTTCCACAACTTGAGAAGCAGCCTTCAACATCTGTGGTTTGGTCCTCTTCTCAAAGCCACCCCTCTTTAATAACGCTCCAAAATGCAACTGAAGAGGGATGTCTGAAAACACACCAACAATAGAGTTATGACACTACTCAGTGTTACTATTCCTAATCTACAGGTGTTGAGAGTAGAAATATTTTGTTTTCTTAGAAACAAAAGTTCATGTTTCATTTGGTTGTTGAGGCTGTGGCAATTAGTGTGATTCCTAACAATTTGTTTGTGACAATTCAACACCACTCTCAAACATAAGCCAAAGGATTTTACTTTCTTACTTTACATCCTTTCATCTTGGGCTATTCTCTAAAGGTTTGGTGAAAATGATGTTGGAAATATAGACAATTCAAAATGATAGTTTTAAGTAACTGTATAAAGGCAATCCCTAGCCCTTGTAAGGAATGTCACTAAGAGCCCGCTGCCAGTTAATTTGACTGGAAAAAGAACTTACCACTGCCACCAAAACAGGAAAATTTAAAAGGCAAATCACAGATTTGAAGTTTTACAGAGCCATTAGACATCAATCTCTCTCCAGGATGGGTATAAGACCCCCTGGGTTCTAGGATCATAATAAAAAATAATATCCACGAAATTGTTAAAACCCTGGTTTACCTGTACAGAATGAGAGCACTGGATGGAAAGAGGCATCCAGAGAGGCAACTTTTTCTGGCGTAGTCTGACTGGGCCTAACCACTGGTAATGTTCTTGAAGACTTTGAACAAATCAAACAAGGAGTTGTTGGGGTAACACATCCACAGAGCAGTGAAAGTGGTTTGGGCTTGTTATGACGAATGTGAGATAAATGTACCAGACGACGTTTCCTGATCATATACACTCCTCTAGTTCTAGCGCATTGAGGAAAAACATCATTTGAAGTGGATGGCAAAGAAGAAAAAAGCTTATTTCAGCAGCGCCTTTGGCAAGCTGTGAACGCCTTTTTCCTGCTTTAGCTACCACAGGTGGTTTCCTGTGTTAATTGAAATATTACGAATATTAATTTCAACCATGATAAAAACCTAGGCAAGCCAGCCTCTAGCAAGAGACCTGATAACAATAATTACTTCTATCAGGGACACTAGCAATGTATAGTTGGTGAGTAAGAAATTACAGCAGATCTATGGTCCAATGGTCAGCATTTGTTTCAAGCCTTTTGATATCCATTTTTAACACAATGACATTGTTACCATGACAAATTACCATAACAGATTGGCTGCTTTTTATAGTTAACACGGTGGAGGTAAATAACTAGACTTTTTCCTGATCTGCTGACTAAATATCACATAAAAAAAATCAACTTAGGAAACTAAAAACTGAGGCAAACATTAACTTTAAAGCTGTTTTGAAAGCTGAGTAAACAATAGCACTATTTTTAGCGATAACAGCCATCTTTATGTTAATCTGCTGGTGTCTGTATAAATGAAGGATACTTGTTATCAACAGAAAGTCTCATGACTGGATTTCAATCATATATAAATTTGTTAGAGACAAAACAACTGTTATATGGCACTCAAAATTTGAATGACAACAGTCCTGATAGACTTTAACAACCAGTAAAATGTTGAGAGAACAACTTTGTGCAAAATGAAATTGGAGGAAAAGGGTGGAGTGCAAAAATGCTTGAGGTGCAATTCTACTGCAGATTCTATCTATAATAATGTGCAAAAGGTGAAGACAACAACTAAAACGTCCATTGAAATTGTGTTTTATCTGTTACTTGAAACAAACTTTTATGCATACAAGCATATTAAGTAGGCTTGATTTAATTAACTGGTTGCAACAAGTACTTCATAGCCAAGACTAGACAACATGGTTCAGATAGCATAACATTTTTTCTTTTCCAAACCACACAAGGTGTAAAAATGGAGAAACACAAATCAAAACAAAATAAGTGGGAGAGAAAAGGGGAGAGGGTGGGGAACTCCCATTCCTAAGTGCCTCAACAATTACTTAAAATTTGCTGCCCGGTAAACTGGTACAGGTTTTAACTTATCCTCATTTCATATTTTAAGCCACAAAACAGGCCTAACACATGCTATAAATTAATGTTTGTTTGTTTAGCTATTGATAAAAACAAATATGGAATTTTTCTTGTTGACCTAAATGAGTGAATAAGTGAAGAATTTAACTCATTCATCCCTGAACTGCCCGTAACCGCCCGTGTGGATCCATGTCCCTCTACCGCTTGTAACGTCATCAGTTTTAATCGTCAAGGGCACCTTTGTACCGAACGTGAACATTTCGACCACCTTTGGTCGATGACGCAACCAACACTCGCAAAAAATTGTGTTACTTCCGATTGCCTCCAAATTTGGCCCACAGGAAGTCAATAGATTTAGCCAATTATATGCCAAGTTCCAGGCCCTGGGGAGTTTTGAGCTTCACGCAACGATTTTTTCAAATCTAGTGAAAATGGCGCTTCCGTCAGGAAGAATTTTGTCGCGGCTTTTGCCAAGAATGAAAGCTTTTATCGACGAATTTCGACCAAATACAAGTCAAGCAAATTATTTTGGATGATTCTGGAGGATAACAAGCGAAATAAACGCGAAAATAGAGGTAATAAAACAGTAAGAATCTTTGCTTCTAACTCGCCGAGTAGGCCATAGTCTGGCACACATTTTGTTGAAACGTAGTGAAATCCGTCCCGCGGAGCTTTTTGCCTTCAAAGCCTTGCTTATTTTGATGACTTATATCAGACAAGAAAAGCGAAAAAAGAGGGGTAAAGACTGCTGTGTCACTTTTAAACCCAAAACTGTCAATTTTGCTGTCTGCACATGCCTGAACTTTGCAAGTAATAGTTTGTATCTGGATCAGAAGGCTGCAAAGTGCACGTCCTGTAAATGGCTTTATGGTAAGTTTTAGCTCTTTATAGCACAACAGTGGCCAGAAAACTGCTCGACTTGCTTTAAAACGCAAATTTCCAGGGGTGAATGAGTTAAAAAACTAGGTAAAAATACACAAAAAACTGGGGACAAATTGAATAGGTTTCGAAAGTACTGTAAACCAATTGTAGTAAGGAGAGGTTAAACTTACTTCTTTTCCACAACTTGAGAAGCAGCCTTCAATGTCTGTGGTTTGGTCCTCTTCTCAAAGCCACCCCTCTTTAATAACGCTCCAAAATGCAACTGAAGAGGGATGTCTGAAAACGTACCAACAATAACTTTATCACACTACTCAGTGTAGCATACTATTCCTAATCTACAGGTGTTGAGAGTAGAAATATTTTGTTTTCTTAGAAACAAAAGTTCATGTTTCATTTGGTTTTGAGGCTGTGGCAATTAGTGTAATTCCTAACAATTTGTTTGTGACAATTCAACACCACTCTCAAACATAAGCCAAAGGATTATACTTTCTTACTTAACATCCTTTCATCTTGGACGATTCTCTAAAGGTTTGGTGACAATGATGTGGGAAATATAGACAATTCAAAATAATAGTTTTAAGTAACTGTATAAAGGCAATCTCTAGCCCTTATAAGGGATGTCACTAAGAGCCGGCTGCCAGTTAATTTGACTGGAAAAAAGAACTTACCACTGGCTCAATCTACTCTGGAAAACAAAGAGATGGGGTAAATTTGAAGGTGCAGTTGAGTTAAAAAAGCCAGCTTGACTAATAAAAAACCCTGCTTAGCTTTTCCTTAGCTGAATCCCTACTTGGTTACTATAGCAAAGGTTGATTACTACCAAAGCAGGAAGATTTAAAAGACAAATCACAGATTTGAAGTTGTACAGAATCATTAGACGTCAATCTGTCACCAGGATGGGTATAAGACCCTCTGGGTTCTAGGATCATAATAAAAAATAATATCCAAGAAATTGTAAAAACCCTGGTTTACCTGTACAGAATGAGAGCACTGGATGGAAAGAGGCATCCAGGGAGGCAACTTTTTCTGGCATAGTCTGACTGGGCCTAACCACTGGTAATGTTCTTGAAGACTTTGAACAAATCAAACAAGGAGTTGTTGGGGTAACACATCCACAGAGCAGTGAAAGTGGCTTGGGCTTGTTATGACGAATGTGAGATAAATGTACCAGACGACGTTTCCTGATCATATACACTCCTCTAGTTCTAGCGCATTGAGGAAAAACATCATTTGAAGTGGATGGCAAAGAAGAAAAAAGCTTATTNTGACTGGGCCTAACCACTGGTAATGTTCTTGAAGACTTTGAACAAATCAAACAAGGAGTTGTTGGGGTAACACATCCACAGAGCAGTGAAAGTGGTTTGGGCTTGTTATGACGAATGTGAGATAAATGTACCAGACGACGTTTCCTGATCATATACACTCCTCTAGTTCTAGCGCATTGAGGAAAAACATCATTTGAAGTGGATGGCAAAGAAGAAAAAAGCTTATTGTCTGTTGAATCATTTGCTCCAAGGGCTGTTCGATATCGCTTCGTTGGCACATCCTCACTGTTCAATAAAGAACTGTCAAGCAGGCCTCGCTTGACCCCGTTTAACAAGTGATTATCTGAATCCCTGAATGAATCTTTCTTATTCAAGTCTGTCAAGTGTTTAGAGTTGTTAATATCCAGGGAAGGTGGTACTGACAGTGCATTGTCTCTTAATCCCTTTACAATACCATTTCCATCAATGTCAGTAGCACTTCTCACCAAGCTCACATTTGGGGTGCAAGCTTGAAGTTTTACTGTCCCCTTTCTCAATCTTCCTCCTTTATAAAGATCATCATATCGTCGGATCTGACGTTCCAAATTTATGATTTGGGACTGCAGCCAAGACCAGTGCGATGCAATTACTCCTTCTTCCATTTGAAACTGCCTCCTTAACACTTTAACACTAAAAGAAAAGCAAAAATGATCAACCATCTTCATAACAAATATCTAAATCTGCTCCAATTAACCATCAATTTCTTAAAGGCTACCTATGAACATTCAAGTTAATTATATCAAGCAAGTCCTTTGCTTAAGTTTAACACGTACAATACCACAAAAGTACCACTTAATTCAATATCATATTCTAGACTGCAAGTCAAAGAATCACACTTTGAGAAAAATAATAAAATAACTTGCATAAAAATATTAAGATAATTAGAACACAAGGTATAGATCATTAAAAAGATGATTAATGGTAGTAATTATTACTATTACTTTTTTTATATTATACCATGACAAGACACTATACATCTTAGAAGAACAGTTGGAATTTCCCTGCCATTAATAGCACATTCACACAATACTCAACAACACGGTTGACCGGTGAATTGAGACCGTTCTGTTGTGGATAGCTAATGATGCTTCATATTAAAGAGAATTTAAGCAATTGTTGCCCTGAAAAGTTATTCAACATAAATCACAAAACTAAGGTGCAAATTGTTAGAACTTAAGTGTGTACAAGACAACAAATTTCTTGCAAATATTTAAAACAATTTCAATACAACCACATACTAAAGAAGACAGGGGTGGCAAATATATTTGATATTTCAATATAAACATCTCTCCAACTCAAATGGTTAAAAGTTGTAAAAAGTAAGACTGGACACTATTTAACAACTCTAAATCTCCTAGTAGAACAAAAATACTTAAAACATAAATAATTTATTTTTCTGTCATATAAACCAAGACTTCAAATATTTACCAGGTACAAAGGAATGATTCCATGATAAAAAGTGTAATACAATTTTAAGACAAGCAAAAACGACAAATCAACAATTTCACATTTAAGAAATACATATTGCCTGACGGGTTAATGCGGCTTCAAGGCAATAAAGAGCCTACATCTATGAGACGGCTGACAATGGAAAGGAGTTTAAGAAAACTATATTCTCAAAAATTTAAATTTCCTTTTTTAGCATTCACGACATATATGCAAATTCCCGCAGCACAGCACAGAAAATTGAAAATAAACAAACTTATAGCAAGAAACAAAAAATAAGGTTTCCTTCTTGCCACATTCAAATCGAACTATCTAGCAGCGCCGGTCAAATGAGTCGGTTTTGTACATCTCAATAGCAGAACTCCCAAAACACTAAATGAATATGAAATGCCAAGTCAGGGAAATTAAATTGGCGCAACTATCGCCCGACATCACAACAACATATAATCCCCAACACGGAAAAATACTAGACCACTGGTTTACTCGTTGTGATCATTTTACTCAGGCTATGTTATATAACCTAGAGGTTTAAAATGCAAGTAGTGGAAATAAAAACATTGGTATTCCGCGTTTCAACGTCGATGGTATTTTGTGCGTGTTTCACTCTTGTAAATTTAGCGCGAGGGAAATTTAAAATGTTATCCACATCTTGCACAAATTTAACACACACATCGAATTTTGAGAAAGAAAAATCCCTTTCGTATATAAAGTTTAAATGAAAACTGAACAAAGCCGCAGATATGTCAACCAAAATTTCATAAATACGCCACCAATCCAATGAATAAGAAAAGAAGAGAGTATTTCGTGGGAGTCGATGAAAGACTCTCAGCTCCCACGATCAATTAGCAAAATGATAAAATTTTATTTCCCTTTCGCATCAAGCACAAACTTACGTCAGGGTGAACACATCTCTACTCACCGTTTGCTGCGTAGTTTCGTTTTCCTCGATTCTCCTTCATCTTCGCTTTCTTCCCCGGAACTCGCTTCAGTCGCGTCCGAATCATCGATGCTCTCCAAAAATTCGCATTGTGAACTCCAACTTTCCACAGCACTAACAGCCTTCGATTTTTTACCAAATTGTTTGAAATCCACTAAAACGTTTCCTTCGTCAGAGCCAAATGACTCAGCAGAAATCCGCTCCAGTTCTTTTATTGCGATGTCCACCGTCGTTGCGTTGTTGTTCTTCATCCGACTTGCAAAATTTCCAGGCATCGGCGGTTTGTTATGAAGTCGATCTGCCTTCAGTTCCGGACAAATATTTGACACACTTTTACTTTCGGGAATACCTTTTACTCCTAAATTTCCACCTGGTTCGAGATTAGTTGAAGAGGAATCGCGAGTTACACAACGCTTTTCCGCCAAATTTTCCAATTGTTGAAGCACATGGTCACCAAGTTGCCGCGCTTGTAGTTTGCGAAGGCGCGTCTCAATTTTTCTCGCCCTTCCTTCAAGCTTTGCTTGACGTCGAAAGGCTTGTGAAGTTCTTTGAGAAATTAAGGCCTTTCCAGAATCAAAATTTGCTACTGGATGCTGCGAAACTCGATTACTCTCTTCCTTTTCGCAAACAGTATTACATGTACCAGCCGAAGTCTTCGCCGTTGAAGCACATGTGGCTCGTGAAAGATCAGGGGACGAGTTTCGCTTTTCTTCTCTGTCAGAAGAGTTACTCGACGGCTTTGTCGCGGCACTTTTTTCAAGGCTATCATCACAATGTCCGTTTGGCATTTCAATTTTGCCTTTAATTTCTTCGCTGAGTCGTGAAACTATGGGTGTGTTCTGCGCCGAAGGCTTGATAGTATTTGTAATGTCTGCAATGTTATTGTCACTTATCAATCGTACAAGACCGTTCTGTGAAACTAGCTTCAAATCCAAAGCAAGCCCAGCACTTTCTTGCTTAAGTTCCTCTTGTACAGTTGATGAACAGTGACGATCCACAGAATTCTTTCTTGAGGACTCCGGAGACGCGCTCGCCTCGGTCAGAGCGGGAGCCATTTGAGCCATCTACCATACTTCACTTCACAATGACTGCCGATGGCAACGAGGCCCCGTTGAAAGCATTTTCGCGGTTGCTTACAACAGGAAAATAAAACATAAATATAAAATAAAGAGTAAAAATCACTCCAAAATACAAAGTTTTCGAAGTTCATTCAAGGGGAGTAGAGAAACGTTTTTCAGCGCGTTGAGCACGTGACCGCCACGTCTTGGTGGTGCGTGTTCTAATCTCGCAAAAGAACACACCAACCTTGATATATGCAAAAACGCTAAATTTTCGTCTTCGATTTTCCACGTTGAATCACTTTTAACACCACGTAAAAACACCGAAGAGTAAAGATGGAAGTGTTTGAAACCTTCTGAACGGTTTTTGAATCTCTTTCACTTTGAAATATGCCACCTTTGAAGCAAGTTTGAAATCCTTTCCCGCTTATCAAAATGGCGGCACAAGAATCCACTTCAAGCTTCTTGTATCAGCAGAACCCTCGTGCAAATATCAAACGCTCTAGGCGATTGCATCAATTCTCAGGCTACCCTCCCTGATGTATTGCGTGATTGGTCGAAACAACAATAACTGTCATCAGCAGAGATAACAAGCTGCAGAGAATTGAGGTTTTCATCACTTCAAACAAGAACTTCGGATTTCCTGTGCGCGTTTGGAACACACCTCCTTCGCGAGAGACATCGCGTTCGGAGTGAAAATATTCCTCGATGTCAACCCTGGAAAAAAAGGAGGAAAAAGAAAACTTAATTATGGCGAAAACAAGTATTACTATGTGAGTCTATTACGAAGCATTAATTTAGGAACTCGGGAGAATTTTGCACAATCCTGAAAATTAGAGTTAACAATGTACAAGAAGCCGATATCACCACCTGGGACGATTTTTTGTTTTATAAAAAGGTTGGATGCTCCAAAATTTGAAGAATTACTTCCGACAGAGGCGTAAAACAAAAGCAATTATTCCTCTTAGAACTGGTGAAATGTAGAGGTGAGATCTCATGATAAACACCGGTTCATCCCGCGGCTACAACGCGTACGAGCAACCCCGTTCGAGCTTGTGTGAAAGGGCAGGATTTCATATTTCCGTTTGAAATTAAATAAAGGAACTGTTGCTGTCTTTTGTTAACCTAGTTTTAAACTCAAATTGTCCAAGAGAAGTCCTATATTCACTGTAGTAACAATTTTTTTCATGATTTGCATAGTTTAGGAGAAAACCGGAAGTGACACAGCAAGCAACATGTGTTCAGTACTGTAAAATTCTCCGTTGCTATCAAAATATTGTATTTTCTGGGCGAAATACACCAAAATTGAGCTAAATACATACGAGGTCAAATGCTGACTAGTGTCTGGAAAGGAATTAAAACTAAAAATGCTTATTTTGTTCTCAATAAAAATACATACATCTGGTTTTTTATCCGAAAGATGGAAAAATATTGTTACGTGCAAAGCGAGTAGTTTTATGCTATTCCAGCGGAAATAAGCAATGGCAAGCTAAGTATTTTAAGCATTTCACTTCCCACTAAGTACCTCTCTTCTAGTCATAACTAAAAGAAAACTAAGAAAAATATTTAAATAGTGAAAAGTTTTCAAATTCCAACATAAACAACTTCTAATGTATTAGCTTATCAAAATGCAAAAAATTGCTGTTAATTTTTCGGTAATTGTACTGTATTTAGTCTATTAAAATAGGTACGGAACAATAATATCGAAAGAAAAATTCTACCCTAAAGAAATTCAGTCAAAATCAGTCCAGGTATGTGAAATTATTCACAGCTGAACCGCCATTGCATATCCTAGAACCTTGTAACAAATTAATGTGATGTCATCAGTTTTACAGCCATTGACAACTTTGACACCTGCCTTATGAAGGGAGAGATGTTTACCATGCATACACCAAGAGAAGAGATGCCACAAAAAAGAAATGATGACCAGAAAATTTCAATGACAAATCTTTTTTAACTTCTACCACCCATACTTCCTTTCAAATAGTAATTATTTCATGATCCTTGGGCTTTTTGCAGTGATCAAAGGTAAAAGTACAAGAGCAAGATGGAAACGGTACAAAACATATTAGTTGAGAGGGTAGCTATCTTGAAGTTTTGTCTTCTGCACATGCCCAAACTTTTGAAGCTGCAATTCAGCATCAGGAACAGAACGTAGTGCAGTGCTTGATAAACACAATATAATGTTTGGGAAATTTTGGTTCTTTTTGACCACCCAATGACCAGAAAATAGCTGAACTAGCTTTCAATTGATGAGGCTTTTTCAGAAAAATTTCCATGCATGAGCAAATTGGTTTTCAAATGTTAAAAGAGTATCTCCCATTCAGCCCCCCAAAATAAAAAAATCTAAGGCTTAATTGCAAATCATGGTTATCCAAACATAACTGAATATTATAGCAGAACAGTCAAGCGAGTTTGTTATCGTCGTTCTATTTTAATTGCTTTTTTTGGCATGTACCCCAGAACATTTAAATTTGAAATACAGCATTTTTAGCTACAATATGAGTGTGCAAAATTGTGTTGTGTCCTGTTCTCATACTTCTCTTCCATCAAGACATCTCTTGAACATTAAGTCAATCATTTTCTTTTATTTATTTGTCCTAATTACCTAATTGGTACAATCAAAATGTTGTAAAGAATAAACTAGTAGGGCCTCAAACCAGGCAGATGATTCACATTAAAAGTCCCAAAGGAGCAAAGTTCGATGTCTAAAATATCCAATAGGCTATCAATGTTTATCATCACATGCTTTACTAAGTTGCCATAGAGTCTTTATGTAGTTTGTCATCAGGATTCTATATTCAGTTAAAAGGTGTCAATAGATTAACTGTCTAGCCTATGATAAATGAGGTTTTTTCGCTGTCATAAACTGTATACTTAATGAATTATTTACTGACTAATGTATACAGTAAAGTTGGCTTTTTCAATGAATATGGTTTATAGATGTCAAATTTTGAACACTTTCAGCAAGAAAAGGAATTATTTGTAAACAAATAATAATTTTAGTCAACTCTCACTTTTTATTTGTTGCATTTTTCCAGTCTGTTGCATGACTGGTGCATGATATTGTTAGGCTATTAGTCTGCATCTCTAGAGGCGTAAATGCCACAGATCATACAGTAGTACATTCTAGTAATTAATTAATTAATTTAACTTAAGAAGTTTTCTTGGTAATCTGTTGAAATTTTTTCATAATCAATCATCAGAAATAATATTGGAATGAACCAATCAATAGTAAAGTCACTCATTATTGGAAAATCTCTTTATATCTTTATAAGAATTCTCTTTATTTTTTATCTGTGTGAAAATCAAAGTAATACAGTGGAACCGGGTTAATATGGACACCAGCGAGACAGGATATACTGTCCATATTATCTGGGTGTCCATATTAAGCAGGCTTTATCGATGAAGAGACTTAAACAGACATTTTAATGAAAAAATATTGTTTAATTTCTTCGCAGTTACTGTAACAATTTCATTCTAAAGAAAACTCATGATCAGTCAGTCACAGTGTCATCCTAAGAGGCCCAGGGAATGTCATTTGGGTCAGGATACATGGCGGCAGAAGTTTTCTAGAACAGACTAGAGAGCCCCTAGGATGCTACTCTTAACAAACCAGTTCCACTACTCATTCAAATGCTTGATATTTTTATGCCCAATCAGAGGTCAGCATCTATTGCGCTGCTTTCATTCGATCCTCTTGGGTCACCGATGAGACATATTTACAAACTTTAAAGAGTGAAGAATTATCTCTTGTACGTGCCTGGCAAGTATGCCGAGTAGGCAATCTTTTAATGACTTAAATTGGTAGGTAGAGTAAGATAAAATCATCATGCCTGTGTCCAGTTTTGAAAACTCTCCTGCACGAGCCAGACAGGTACAGTGAAAAGTGTACGGTGTTTGCAGGCAAACTCCTTCGTATAAGAGGATCAAGAAAGCAGCGCGATAGATGCTGGCCTCCGAGAGACAAGTATTCAAATGAGTCATGGAACTGGTTTGTTTAGAGTAGCATCCTAGGAGCTCTCTCACTCATTCTTCAAAACTTTCGCCGCCATTTATCCCGACCTGACTGACCACCCCTGGGTCTCCAAGGATGTCAAGGTGTCAGACTAAGACTACTTTTCAAGTATTCTTCTTGAAACACAACAATGGAATCTGCTACGTATGCTTTTAGTTTGAGACTTAGCCAGGTGGACTGAACATTAGACATGACGTGACAAAACTTTTTGCTGTTTTTGTTAAGTTTCAGTAGTTTCAGTCACAGACAGTGTGTAGATAAGCAGTGTCCGTAAAGTGGGGTTAACAATATATGGGAGTTTTTTGACTCAGAACACAGAAAAGTTTCCATTGTCCATATTAACCAGTGTCCTTATTAAGAACGTTAATTTTAGAGAAAATATAGGAACAGACAGTTTCGTTTGTCTCAAAGAAAAGCTACATATGGGTATCTGTAGAAAGTGGGTCCACTAATTTTTTTTGTTTTTATTTCATTAATGAGAGCTTTTCCTTGCTGTAATGATAAATAATTTTTTAAACAAATTACAGTATATATAGATGATCAGCAAACCAGTACTGACTTGAAATTTCAAATTTACCACTAGTTTAAGAATTTATCACAATTTATTTAGAAAAATTTGGCACAATTTACACCAAAAAAAAAACAAGGAAAACACAAGGTGGACATGAGACCTATAGCTATGACTTTCTTGGCAAAACTGCAAACGTCCAAAGATCTGATCAACTATGGACTTTCCACAATAATCAGGCTGTTTGAGCAAAGAGGCCTAGATTTTTCATAACAAGTGCCACTTTTATTTTCAGCTGACCGGCTGTTAAATTTTACCCAGACTTATGACAAACATTATAGTAAAATTTCAAAGACTGAAATAACATTTTTATTTTGAATAAATGATTTCACAGAAAATTATCTATTGCAAGAGCGAATTTTTCCCTAACCCCACCCCCATGGTTTCTTTTGTCACGCTCCGCAGACCACGTAACCATTA